CTGAGATGAAGGTTGTATGTTGTTGGCGAGTGGTTGGTGGCTAAGGCCATGGGTGTGTGTGAGGTCACTCCGAGGGTGGGAAGAGGGGAGCTGACCGAGATGCTCCTGTGCTCATGGGGCAGCTAAGGAGGAGGACAGACGGAAGGAGCCTGAGAAGAAGTGAGGAGGCTGGAAGGAGAGCAGAACGAGCCAGGATACGGAGGGTGCAGAGGAATGACCCAGAGCACCAGGAGACACACAGTGGCCAGGAGGGTAGGGGCGGTGGCAGCCAGTGGAGTTGAGCACTATGAGGTCACTGTGCGCTCACTGAGAAGGACGTCAGAAAAGTCATGAAAGCTGGAGCTGATTACAGTGGGTTTAGAGATAAACAGGAACCACGACCTCTTACAAAGAAGGGCAGAGATCTAGATGGCTGAGAGGGCTTGCGTAGCAAGGGTAAGCCTGGTCTGAGCCAAGGGCAGATCACAAAGCTCAGGAGGCCAGGCTGCTAACCCTGGAGGGGACTTCGCTGGTAGAGTCCACTAATTCACAGACCAGGCAACCAATCACCAGGTAATAAGGCCGCAGCCCAGGAAGTTATGTTCCCCTCCAGAAAATAAAGCTGGTAGACAAAGTACTCCCTGAATGTAAATTGACTGGTGGTGTTGAAAATTCCCACTCCAAACACATGGCTGACTTGGAAGGCGCCACGTGCAGGTGCACGGCTCAGTCTAGTGGGTCAGCCAGAGGTGCACTACAGTAGGCAGCAGCCATCAGAGTCTGCCTCCTCAGAGTCTCCATCATTCAGACTGTTGGGACATATGTGGGGGGGTTTGGGTTTTTTCCTGCGACTTAATTGGCAGGATTCAAAATGATCTGCAGCATAATGGGACAAAACTACTGTAACTACCGGGCCATTTAAACTTATGGGGTTCTGGTTGAATAGGCCAGTATTAGTATAAGTGCAGCTGCCACCGTTAGGGGCTATTTGAGTGGGACACTTGTTCAAAAGCCTCAACCCCCTCACTTCTGCTCTTACAGTTGAAGCTGCGCCAGCCAGGCCTCCCCCACCTCACTTATGCACCCTTTCTGCCCTGATGTCAGCTGATTTTTAATGGATGCAGGCCAGTAGGCCATTTTTTATTTTTTAAAAAAACACATAAGTGCTATGAATTTTTAAAAATGTGTTCAAAGGCTGTGAAGTCTAGGCACTGTCCTAACATTTTTAGAATAAAGCTAAGTAGTAGTTTGTTTTNAAGGAGGAGGAGAGATGGAAGGAGCCTGAGATGAAGTGAGGAGGCTGGAAGGAGAGCAGGAACAAGCCAGGATATGGAGGGTGCAGAGGAATGACCCAGAGCACCAGGAAACACACAGCAGCCAGGAGGGTAGGGGCGGTGGCAGCCAGGGGAGTTGA